AGGGACGGTGGATCGAAAGAAGCCATCTTGCAATATTCGACTGTTACTATAGGAGTGGCGTGCGCAAGCCCAAAAAGCAGTCAACCACGCAGCAATCTTGGGGTATAATGAGCAACTCTTCCCTCCCTCTCCCGGCCTCGCTATGCTAGTATGCCACCCATTCCACCAGCCCATCGATGCGAGTGTCGCGGTGTCGACAAATCCATGTAGTGAGGTAGTGCCGCGCTAAGAAATGGTTCGAGTAGATCGTCGATCGTCAAAAGCACAAGCATTACGCGGAGCGAAAACAGGAACGCGCATGCAGTGGGTATGTGAGTAAGAACGCTACCAGACGCCAGATAATGCAGATGCGAGCCGCATGCGCCAGAACGTGAAGCACAGGTATGGACAAGAAGTGTAGCCCAGAGTTCAATCGGGGCGCCGCACAGTAGACCGAAATCATTGATATCGTGGCCAGTCCTGTTGGCCCATCGTGCTCGGGGTGGACCAGCCTGGCATGCCGGGCTGCTGCCCAGCGCTGGAGATCGGTCCCATGTTGAACTGCTGTGGGCTCGGGCTGGGCTGGTACATGCTCCGGTTCATGCCCGCGTAGCCCATCTGGTTGAGCTGCTGGCTATAAGCCATGCTGGGCTGAGAAGGCATCTGTGGCGGTGGCATCGGCGAGTGGTGCTGCTGCTGCTGGCCATATTGCAGGGGATGGCCCTGCGCCAAAGGCGACGGCTGGGCCTGAGGCGGCTGCCATATTTGACCAGCACCGTACCCGTATGATGGGGTCTGCCGGTGTCCGGCTGCGCTGCCTATGGCCATCGATGGCGAGACTTGCTGCATCTGGCCAGGAGGCAGCTGCCGGTGCATTTGTTGAACAGGCGACACCATTGGGTTTTGCTGGTTGGGGTAGCCTCCATAACCTTGCGGCACCATCTGCGAGCCTGGCTGTGACATTGAATCCTGTGGCGCGCGCGATTGGCTCATGCCGGCGACTGCTTGAGGTGACTGCAGGTGCTGCGGGGGCATGCTGCTTGCCTCCCCTGGTACCGATTCCGCGTGTGTCGTTGGTTGCTCATGTGGCCGCTCCCAGTAATCTCCGAGGTACTTTGCTCGATGCGCACGCGTCTGAGCAAGTGATTTGTTGTACTCTGCAGCATGAGCGGCCTGATTGAGTATGTCGTTCGTGCTGCTAGACTGTGTACGGTCGATGTAAGGCAGACCGGTGATTTCTTGTCGTGGACGCAGGACGTTGCCATAGCCACTACCAGGTCGCATGTCGTCGCTGGCCAGATGAATCATCGGAAGTGGAGCCGCAGGGGCGAGCGAGACTGGCTGCATACTAGGGCCCATCCCGTCAAGGCCTGGACCATTGCTGTAGATGATCTCGCCCTGTGGCAGAGCGGTCAACGCGTTGTGACTCGCCTCGGCCGCTGCAGCCTGTCTCGCCTTGGCAGCGCCTGGGCGTTTCTCGCCTGCAAGATCATCTTCCGTAAACCCTTGCTTCTTCGCCTTCGCCTCCCAGTAGTCGTCACGAACGCGCCGTCCACTCTCGATCAGCCGGCTGCCAAATTGTCTGAACATAGACCTCGCAGTGACGATCGCGATCTGACGCGAGCGATAAGAGTATGGCAAGATCTCCTGATGAATGAGGTTGTCCTTCTCCTGCTGATTTGCGATGATCTTGAACAGCGATCGGTTCTTGTTGAAGAGTAGATACGAGTCGCGGTATCCCAAGTTGCGTGCGCACTCTGTGGCAAGCATGAACACCTTTTCGCCTCGATTTGGGACCTGGAAGATATTGCATCGGTACTTTCGACCCTCCAAAGGATAGCCGTCCTTCGACACCTTGAGTTCGCCGCTGGGATCAGTCTCTCGGGGGATGTACTCATCACCTTCCGGCGTCAGTTGATCAGTAGTATGATCACGAACGGTCGGCAGGGCCTTCACTACTGTGGGCTTGGTAGCAGAGCCCGGCGTGGACTGTTGCGGCGACATCTGTGGCAGAGACTGCGTCTCGACCTGTGGGGTTCGCACCGGCTGTTGGGGCAAAGCGAGGGCCATCGTGTCTGACGGTGAAGCTAGTCCTTCGCTCTTCAGCTGCTTGTTGCGCTTGTTCGACTTCGCATCATCTGTGTGCCACTACGTCAGGCCTGCTCGAATAGATTGTGCCCGCAGATGACACTGCCTGTAGCAGGCCAAGCTTCTCCTCGAGTACGTACCAGCTCCTGCCGCAAGACTCCGACCACTGTCGTCGACGTCTGGGGAACGAGCGCGCTTGACTCCGCGGGGACTCGGCTGCGATAGCAGGTTCGGGGCGATAGTGGTGGACTCTACAGCGGACGACATCAATCAGTATCGCATGCGCCGGGTCGGACAGCAGCCCAATGGGTGCGACCATGGGCCGACTGGTAGTACGTACGAGGCGCGTTCAGTGCAGCAGGATTTATGGTGCCAGAATCGTCCATTTCACGGTGGAGCGATGAAAGCGCTGGGAAGCTCCGATGCGACGCGGCCAGCATCACATCCCTCGCTCCGCGCGCGCGCTACTGTCGGCGGTCGTTCAATTTCCAGCGTCTCGGTATCGCGATCTCGAGTGCGCGCCTGTGGCGGCGGTGAGCCGCAGGAGATACTCGGTCGGTCGCGCGTGGTCGTTGCATGGACAGCGTCGCCTCAGCGATGACGCTGCGGGCGTTTGGGGGCGGCGACAAGCGCCGTCAGGTCTCGACCTGGTGTTCGTGCAGGTCGCGGTGGGCTCGTGAGCTGACGGTCTCCTGGTTTCCGGGACGCGCCGACCGGGATGGAGTGAGGTGAAGATGCGGCTCACGCAAGGCTCGCCAAAGGTGAAGGTCGCCGAGAGAGCGTGGTCGCACAAGCTTCTGGGATGACGCACCGCCCCGCAAACCGCGCCAAGCTACTTCCTGCTTCGACAACAATCAGCAAACATCACGCCTCTTCAATCACATTGCCAAAGTCCTTGCTGCGCAGATCCAATGCGCACACCTCGAGGCGCCGAGTGGGAGTCGGTGAGTCCCCGCGACCCAACGTTACACCTACCACCCGGCGGCGGTGGAGACGCAAGGGGTATGGCTCAAGCAGCGAACGTGCGTGCAGAGACGGATGCAGAGCGGTTTCAATCCTGTCGCCTGCATGGCCATCCAGGCAGTCCAGACATGATTCAAGCGTAGAAGCTGCTGGACTTACCGAGCCTCCAGCACCCTGCTGGACCAGGGAAGCGGGTATATCAGTACTCGTTCGGTATCGGCAGCCGTGTGTGCTCGTCCTGGTGTCGCTGATTCGGTAGCAAGTGCATTTCCCACGGCCGCGGTAGCCAGTACTACAAGAGAATCTCCCTGCGTGCAATGCGGCCGCCCGCGTCCTTGTCCAGAGTCTGGAGAGGCGAAGGTGGCCCCGATCTGCGAGACGGAGATGTCCAATAGAATCTGGTCGCTGCAGCTTGCGCAAGCTCGAATCGGAAATGGAAGCAGGTCTGCCAGCTCCGGCAGCCTGATCTGTGGCGGCGGAAAGCACTGCAAGGTTGCATAGGCCTGGCGAGTGAGAAGGATGACGGGCATGCAGCTTAAGAGCTATCCACCGGTACGTACTGCCCAGATCTCCATGCCGCAGCGCGCGCATGATCAAGCTACTACTTGCATGTCGCCATCGAGCCTAGCTAAGAGATCGAGCGAATGGGATGGTGTGAGCTTCGGCCGCATTGGTCGTGACTTTGTCGCTCCATCTGAGAACGACGCACCTGGGACCTCACGAGTCGGTGTGAAGTGGGCTTCCCGAACGGGCCGCTACGTGCCTTCCTCCTCTGCGGCGGACGACCAGCCATGGTGTCACTCAGATCGACTCTAAACATAACCAGGCACTATTTCAGCTGCGGCGTGCTCGATCGCCGGCCCAATATCCCCCTGGATACAATAGAGCGGCTCGTATGTATTCGAATGGGCTACAGACAGCTCGTCGCATCTGTGCCCGGATCTCAACACGAGACGGCTGAGAATTCTACCATAACGACAAGTCTGCGCAAGCCCACGGTCTTCCGACAAACCGCCACCTCCCACGATCCGCGGCACTAGCCCGTCCCGCAATGAATACGTACCACCAGATGCAGATAGCCGAACCAGCTCGTGGAGGATCTGCTGCACGACATCCTGTCCTGGCCATGACACGCTGGAGTTCGATGGGCGAACTCCTCGGTGTCTGCACGCCAGCTAATTCGCTGTTACTAAGGCATATTATAGCTCGCTAAGTGCATGGCGCTTGTTGATTGCTCACGGGACTTGCATTCCGAATGCAAATCCTGCTTGCCGTCATCGAACGGCAGCCTGCGGCGTGGGAACATCAGCACCAGCGCCCATCATTGGTCGAGCCACGAAACCACATGGCCATACGCTCACGGACGGCTGCATATGCGGCGGGGTCACCTCCGGACGAGATCGTCAGCTGCACGTTCGCTTCGTACTCCAGCCCTGATGGCGGGCCGGTCCATGACGCTCATATCAACAATGCTAGCCGGAACGATTGCGCGTCAAGCCACTTCATGTCTGCCGAGCACTGCAGTCATGCGATGCGACACCAGTCATGCGACACCGCCTCAGCCGTGCAAGATCCGCGGCGAAGTCCTCAAAACGCAGATCGAAGCAGGCCGCGTGGAAATTGTTTCAGCGTCTGCGCGATCTTGGAGCACCTTCTCTCCGAGACACCAAATGCACTGGGCTGGCTTTGGCAAAGTGAGATAATGATGGATTACACGGCCAGCTCGAAATTTGGTCAAGATCTGTCGTGGGATACCATTGACAGTAGTTAGTGTGTGTGACCTGTCCAACACAAGTAGCAGTGTACCCTGTCATGGCATACGCACCTGATTCTGCAAGACTTTTTCAGCGCCACGTCACTTCGATCGTAGAGTGATGTTGCGACACTGTGTGTCAGGGGTTGGAGTATATACAGGTACATGTAGGCGTGAATCGGTTGTCCAATGAACCTCTGACCACCCAAAAAGATTTCACCCCACGAGGGACTCGAACCCGCAACCTCCAGATCTCATTTGTAGAAGTCTGGCGCGCTACCTGCACATTATCAGTAAATGTGCGGTGGTGAGAGCGTGAACGGAGGTGCTTGCCATTGCGCCAGCGGGGTGGATGGGTCCAACGATTTCAACATGAAAATCAGCGGAGTTTGCGGGGCTAAGAAGTTCAGCTCATACATGACACATATTCTCCAAGCCCGAAGTCTCTGCGTCGGTCGAATCTCGCCGCCAGGCTCTCGCTCTCAACGCCAGATGTTGAAAAGGATGCTGCGCAACACGGTCGAGGGATGCGTCGGATGAGATAACCCTCAGCGGGGCGCATCAATCGCTCTCCTCACTCGCAGACTCATCCCCCGGAGCGCGTACCCCTCTTGGATAGTCGTCCTCCGGCTGGTCGATCTCGTCGTGCTCTGCCCGCCCATTCGTCGCCTCCATTTCATCCCCATCGTCCTCGTCCTCGGACACCGAGATATCCTCATCTTCCACTTCCTCGTCGAGGTTAGTGTCATCTGGCAGCGCCTCTTGCTCGAGTTCCCCTTCATCCTCCTCCATGTCGTCCTGACCGGGTGCCAAAGCACTCCCGTCGTC